TCAATTGGGGGGGGGGAGTGGGACACCTATAATACTCTCAACAACAAAGATAAATTAAAAAAAAATCAAATATGTCTCTTATTTCAACTGAAATTCCTGTTTTCTATTTAGAAAATAACAGAATTTGGGGAAAATCAGTGATGTTTTCAGTTATTCATTCCTACAGGATGATACTATTTTTTACTTATATAGTAGAAATAAAATTCTAAATTAGACTCCCTCTCCAAAGTTACAAAGTTCATGGATATTCTGGCTATCACAGATTTCCACTAGTTCCCACATCACTATGTGAAAACTACTGCATTCGAGGCAGAAATATAATTAGCCTATCTAGATTACAATTCATCTTATTTTCAGGACCTTTGGAAAAGCAGACAATTTATTTCCACAACTTTAACTGGGAAATAATACTTTTATGTCTACCCTACATCTACAATATGCAGTTTTAGAAAATGCATTGCAAACATTCACTAACTAAAATGCTAAGGTTGATATTTTAAACTTTCTGGAGCCAAAAATTTATAGTAAAGTTTCCCACACTGTATTGACTTTTACCACACTGGTGATTAGAAAAAGTCCTGTGCTCAGTGTAACTAAATCAAGGTTATTTTGGCAGTGTAATTTGAATTTCCGGGTCTGTGTGACTAAGATCTCAGCCTTGAAATTGCATTCACTTAAAATAAAACCTTGAATCTTTAGGAGAGATGTACTGCTTCATTTATACTGGGTTTAAAACCTCAGCTTGTAATGTTTTGAATACTGTTCATGAGTTGTTCCTTAATTGTTAAGTGAGAATGATAGTTTGTGTTTTGTGAAGGGCAGAACTAGAATGTATAAATGTATTTGATTATATAAAACGATCCAGGAAAGAAGAAGGGCAAGAAGTAAAATTCATACCCTTCATATTTTCCAGCCATTGCTTAATACATAATGGTCCAGCTCTGTGTTTTTTAATTATAACTTACAGTGTTTTGAAGTTTGAAAGCTTGAAATACAAAATGAAGAATGAAATGATTCTATCATCTGGGTTTCCTTGTGTAAAATATCAAGATTTTCCACAGATTTCAATGTACTGAAATGGATTCCAATGTATTCTGTGTTGTTTTTAAAAGTAGTAAATTCATTAAATGTTAAATAACAATAAAAATGACAAGTAAAGATGTGAAGGCTGTAGTCAGCCACAAGAATGACTTCTACTTAGTTCAGTACTAGCATAGAGGCCTCAAGTCCTGGAGAGAAATGTAAAAACAAAATTATTCCACATTATTCCCTTTTACATCTATATGGTCACCTTATTAGAGCACAGCCAAATATTTTATGCTACAGTTTTGCCCCAATTTAAAAATTCTTTTAGCTTAGAATTAATTTATCAGACTCTTTACTCCTTTGTTTGTCTCTCCCCAAACATGAATGAAAGTGCAGGAAATCTTTAATGTTTTTGTTTCTCATCTCTATGCATTAGAAATAATAAATAAATCAAACAAATATATTAATTTTTAAAGTATGGCATAATCTTTGTTCTATTTTGGTTAAAAATAGTTACTGAATCGGGGGTTGTTATTGGGAATGGTGAAATGTCAGAATTGCTTTTCACTAACTTTTTTGTCAGTAGAATACAGCAGAGCACAGGATTTTACAATAGATTAAAAACTGTTTCATATCACAAGAAAAGCATGTGCTGTTTCTGAGAGCCTTTTTTTCCCTCCCCGGAGGAAGGCTTGGGAGTATGGGCTTGCACAGTCATGCCTAGACAATGTCTGATGCATCGGCAGTGTATGCTTGCTCAGGCGTACACGGCAGTGATGATTTGGGAAAGGAAACTTCTGGTGCTCGAAGTGAGTAAGAGGTTTCATTAGTAGTAAAATCACAAAACATTCTTACTTCTGATGATGATTTTGACTTAGATAGAAAAGTTTTGTTTTTAGTGTTAAGCATTTTTGGTTTGCATTTTGTTTTGTGTTTATCTGCGTGGATGCATAGTCACCAACTCTTTCGATTTCTGTTAATTTGAATAGTGTATTTATCCTAGTGTAATTCTTAGGACCCAAACCTGGGTTTCTTCTCACTGCAGTAAGACCTACTTGCATAAGAATAATTGGGCAACTGGAGCATCTTACAAACTGGGTTGCCCTGTTCAAATTATTTCATCACTGTAAGTCTATATTTCTTTGTCTGTAAAATGAAGATAATGGAGAGGCTGAAATAAAAAACATATGCAAATTACCAAAAATCTGTTCCTAGTGTAAGTGCTCAAAAATTATTATAGTAAAATAATGTTTTATTAAAGAAAATGGCAATCAAGAGGGGTACTAGATTCAAAATTTCTCCATAAAAACACTGCATTAAATTTTACCCTAAAATGTTTCTCATTGCTAGTCAGATACACTCCCGGTAGATACCCTAGAAGTATATCACTTCATTGTGAACACTTTTTAAGAGTTTTGTGCCTTCCATAGTTAGAGCCTGCCAATATCCAGCCTCAACTCTAATCTCATATCCAACTTTTCTCACTTTATGGCAATACTGAAATATTTGTAGTCCTTTGAAAATTCCACCTGACTTTATGCCTTCTTCTGAATGCCATTCTTTTTTTGTGTGTGCAATTTTCTTTTTCCTTCCATCTTCCTGGAAAATTCTTCATCTGCTAAGATCCAGATCAAATATCATCTATTGTTGGGGGTCTTCCCTAATCTCTCACTCTTGCTCTCTTAGATGAAACCTCTCTTCTTTTTAACTTCTGGACATTATGCATACTGTTATCATTACAAAAAAACTTTACATGATAATTTTTTCATAGTTGCTTCCTCTCCTGGACCTTAAGCTCTTGGAGGGAAGACCTATTGTTTATTATGGTGTTTCTATGCCTAGCAAGTATTTTGCCAAGTAATTTCTACTCAAAATATGTTTATAGCAATTACCACTTAGAGTTTGCCTTATAAAATTTGAAGTTAATAGATAGTTGTTCACATAATGTGATTTCAACAATGTTTAGGAAAATCATTTTTTTGTTCCGTACCAGCATCAAATCAGCACAGCACTTCTAAAATTTTCCTGCCTAGTCACTGGTTCCTAAAGAGTCTGTGACAGATAGTAAAACCCTTTCTTCTACAGAGATAGACTAAATGCATATAAGCCTGGAAGAAGAAATACTTTGATTTGAATATCAAGACAGGAAGTAGTGAGAGGTATTCTGGGCCTAAATTAGGAGTATGACAAATGGGCAGGAAAATCTGGTCAAAAGTTCATACTGGGGTAAATTTTTTTTTAGACTTTTGTTTGCCTGTCATAATTTGTGTTTTCATTGGCAGCTACAATCCAAAGAATGGCTTCAAGAATGTGAAAAACAATGTGGTTTTAACTAAGAGTCAGAAATACTAATATTTATATCTCTCTTCACCCCACTTCAGAGAACATAAATGCAGGAGAGGAAGGTCATGTTACATCAAGCACCTCACTACAGCAAAAGGACAAGAACAATTGCAGTTCGGGTAATGGTCTTTTTAAATGATAATTCTGATAAGAGAGTGCTTGATGATTGTATAGCTCTTATGTTTTAGGATTTTTAATTGCCATATATGCATTTATAGACTATATTGTCCAAAAAAACCCCAAATACCCCTTGCCCTGTCCAGGTGGCTCAGCTGGTTGGAGCATCATCCTGTTCACCAAAAGGCTCTGGATTTGATTCTGGTCAAGGCACATACGTAGTTTGATCCCTGGTTGGGGTGTGACCAAGAGGCAATTGATTGGTGTTTCTCTCTCACATTGATGCTTCTCTCTCCCTCTCTCTCCCTCCTTCTCTCTCTAAAGAAGTCAATAAAAACATATCCTCAGGTGAGGATTGAAAACAAAGTACAGCTTATGTTTAAGATTGTTGGTAAATTTTTCATTCTGAAATTATTTCTGTACTTAGTTCAAGAATATGATCACTAAACAAAATAATTTCCAAAATATTTTTTATTCAATTTTTAAAACATAAATTATTACTCTAAAAAACTTGACAAAATAGGTCTTAGTAGATGTTAGTAATTTATTTTCTCTACCCATTACCCAGCCCTACAGTCTACCAAACTTTTGTTTGCTGTTCTAGTTAACTTTTTCGTTATATTTTAAAATGTTACTTTTGCATTTATTAATGCTTGATGTTATATTAAGCATTTCATGGAAAAAATTCCAATGATTTCAAAATACATTCTTACACTTAATAAATACCCTTTTAAATTATACTCAATTATTCACTATCTAGAAAAATTACAGAAGAAACTATATTTACAGTCAATTACAGAATACAATAAATAAAATAACTATATAAACTATAAATCTCAAGGGTGGGGATAATGCATGAGTATAGCGGGTTGAATGGTGGCCCCAAAAAGATATGTCCACCTGAAACCTGTGAATGTCACTGTATTTGGAAAAAGAATCTTTGATGAAGTACTTAGGTTAAGGCTCTTGGGATGTGATCATCCTGACTTAGAGTAAGGCCTAAATTCAATGGCCAGTGTCCTTATAAGAGAAGATTCAGGGAGAAGGTCATGTGAAGATGGAGGTAGAAATTGAAATAATACACCTACAAGCCAATAAACACTAAGGATTTTTGGCAGTGACCCAAAACAGAAAGAAGCAAGGAAGGAAGGATTCCCTGATATCAGACTTCTGGCTTCCATAAATATGAGAGAATAAATTTCTGTTGTTTTAAGAGATTAAGTTTGCAGTTATACATATTAAGGTAGCCCAAGGAAAGGAATATAATGAGTAATTAAGTTACTTTTCTACTATACACCATTCACATTTATTTTGGTCTATATATATGTACCTTGTGAAAGAGTTAATTAGACCTCTGATATTGATAATGTAAAACTATAATCTTTCTAAATTTAAAATAAAATTTGTTTTAATATGAAGAAATTAAAGAAAGAACAGAGGAGCACTGATCAGCAATTTTAAATGTGTGTTGTACTACTTTGGAACTGTATACAAAGCTTCAAGCAAGACTAACCAAGAAGGACGCTTTCCATTTTCAATTAAGTCATGATAGTTGATATGAAACTGGCATTTTATAGAAACTAGCTGCCAATTGAGATAATAAAACTAAAGGATTAGTATATTAACAACTAATAAAGTTTAAAAAGCATATCCAATATTATAAAAATAATCAGAGGAAATTTGTGAAAATAAGCACAATTTTTTTTTCTTCTAAAAACAATTATTTTGCACACTTAAGATTACATTTCAACTTGTGAGTTTTATCTCTAGTATGAGAAGTTGCAGGGATAACTTACTGATTTTCCTTCTCAGGGTATTCTTTGCAGGGAGGTGGATTTTAACTGATTGTGGGAGGATTTGATATCTGGTTTGAGAGGCAGAATTCTCCATGGGTCTCCATTCACTGGAAAGCCTTTATTAAGCAGAAGGTCTCTTCCACATTCCAGGGAGTTTATTGAAACTCAAAATGCTTGAAGACTTCATTCAAGTCAATCATGAAGACACCACTTAATGCAAGACCAGGATCTTCTAACAGACTCCTGTGTTTCCAGACACTTATTTAGTTACATCTGCTAAGAATTAATGTGGCCAAGTTGCCAATATTTCCAGATGAGTTTGCTAAAATGAGAATCCACTGAAATGCCAACAATTTAACAGTTTAGATCTTGAAAAATATTTGCTTCGTCACTAAAATGACAATTTCTATGGGGCATATGAAGTAAAATCTAAAGGATAGAAGAAAAACCTTTAAATATCCCTTTAAAGACATCAATCAAGTCTTAGTTTTTGAACATTTCATTGACAAAAGCCTATACCTTTAAAACAGAGAGCAGATCTCAGGGCTGTAGAGGCTTAAATGGCCACAAGAGAAAGCCCTCATCGACCAAAGTAACCTTTGTCTATCACGGCTGCAATCTCTTAATCACCAGACAGCTTATCTTAGCTGGGAATGGAGTAGGGCGCATTGTAGTTTTCTGTTC